GGCGAGTTTTAATTTGCTGGTGGTCCCGTCTATAATTCTGTTAATTGGTAACCTGGAGATGGAGAGCGTCCTTCTTAGCAATGCCCTCCCCAGCCACCCCCCGGCCCCGCATCCCTCCGCTCCCGCTGAACCCAACCCCATGAGGCGCTGCTGTTTGTCAAAGGCTAATAAACAAATTCCTCGCGAACACCTGAATGAACGAGGGCCAGGAACAACCCAATTAAGTAACGGAGCTACTGGTTGTTTTTTTGTGGCGGTGGAAACAATCCAGGCTCGAAAAGGGTCTATTCAGCGGGCGCTCCGAGAGGTCTGTTTGCAGCTCGCTATTGTTGTCAGAAGCCAAATAAAAGTTCAGCTGGGGGAAGGGGGAAAAAAGGGGATGGGAAGTGATTAAAACCAACATTCGCCACTGCCTCCTGAATGCACTGGGAGGCTCAGTTCAAAGGAAATTATCTGTACCTAAATGACGCCTCTCGCGTTTTACCCGTGCACTTAAGATTTTTGTTCTTAAATGTTGCTATTTTTAATGATGTCATCAAAAGTATCCCTTGCTTTCCCTTATGTGTGAGCGGTAGAGACAACTGTGTAATCCCTGTAGTCTCTAGTGCAGCATCGTTATGAGATACTGGGGAAGTCTCAGGAAGGAGCTGGAACTCGTTTGTCGAAACTAATGATTCCTCGCTGGGCTGAAAGGTCGGTCCAGCAACGCCTGGATGTTTGTGGGGTTTGTTTTTGTTTTGGTTTGGGTTTGATTTTGGTTTTTGACGTGACTTTGTTAGATAGAGGGGGAAAAATTGCCTAACGACCTGGGCTGCAGAACCAGAGTAAAAGGATCCGTTTAGCAGCCACATTGCCATGCTGGAAACTTCTTGGGGAGGACGTGGATTCGGGCTTTAAACAGGGATAAAACAGAACAGCAAGTGACCTTTAGTGATCTTAAGCATCACTAAAAACCTGGGTCACCCCAGCCAGGGTCAGCAGAGACCAAACTAAAGGGGCACTCAGGTCCCTTGTCTGGACAAGTTTTGAGGACAAGCCCTCGCTGATCTTGGTCGGGAGTTAGGCTGGGGACCAGAGGGTTGTATTAGTAATAGGATTAAACAGGGCCGGTTGGGTGCATAAAGTTATTCTTTAAAAGCCAGCGATCCTCCCTGACACGGTTCCAAGATTCCTCCAAGCTCTGCTGGCGCTTCAATTAACATATATTAATGGCTGTTGCTTATTAAGCGCTGATTGTGTAAGAAGCAGACGGTCCCTTTCAATGTGCCTTTTCAACTGTGGGTTTCTCTTGCGTTCAAGTTGGATTGTGCTGTAAACTCCTGATTTCGCCTCACTCTCGTTTGTCACCAAAAAAAAAAAAAAAAAAAAAAAAAAGGAAAAAAAAATTTAAAAAGTGGGGTTTTCTTCCTTTGACATCTTTATTTACACGACTCCAAATGTTACCCGACCCCCACAAGACACACGAGTCTCCCTGAACGGCTTCTCTCCTGGTCCCGGCCGTCGCTGGGGAGTGAATTTAGGAATATGGCTCCAGGCATAAGGCTCCCCTCGCCCTCACCGCGTTTATTGTGCTGGCCGAGCCCTCTCCTGCCTTCTGGCCCTTCCCTACTTCACAGCGGCTCCACAGGCTCCGTCCTCTTTCCCGGGACATGGGACGGGCAAGACTGAGGAGCAGGAGAAGGTCTGAATGTGGCTGCCAAAGCGGTGGTGAGATGGGACCCTT